ATTAAAAAAATAACTATTTTTTTAAATATCTATGAAGTTCCTTGTTTCACACAGTCAAAATTGTATTTAAACTGGTAGACAGGCAAAAAGCCTAAAGTAACTTCAGTAGTTATTTGCCTACTTTCCATTTCTGTTTTTTTATAATTGAATATCTAGAACAACAAAAACAATTCTATCCCACGGGAACCGATCATTTTCCGGGATAAAAAGTAGATTATGTGTTATTCTGATGTATGAGCTATATAATTGTAAAGTTTCATTAAAATCCATTCAGTAGTTTTTGCGTGAAAGAGTAACAAACATCCATACATCTATATATCCAGATATCCATACATCCTCACAAACTTCCGTATTTATAATATTAGTAGGATACCTTGCCTTGACCAAACAGTAAAAAAGAATATAAACTTAGCTGGTTATCAAAAAATGTTGACGTTTAAGAGAATTTACCAAGAGGAGGAGCGTATCTATAAACCTCATTCGTAACGTTTTGTTGAAGTGTCACCATTGAGTGCTTTAAAAACTGTACTGAAGCCATATGTTAGGTACATTATCTACGGCTTCTCGCGCGTTTAATTATTCTATCTTCATGCTATAACCCTGATATGTAAGGGATCATTTTTTTCTAAGACAATCTAGTGATTCTTCGACGATTCCTTATCTTGGTGGACTGTGTTGTAACAAGCGCCTTTGAATAGACATTATGCAAGATAACTATTTCTGTCAAAAAATCCCCTGTACCAGTCCAGAATTGGAAATAGGACCATTAGTAGACCGTTGGCAGTATAGTACCCCTATGCCTTTGTACTACTACTGATTTCTAATTGGTCGTCTTGGAGTGTCAATGCCATCCCATCGAACTTAAAGAGTGAAAGAAATACAGAGTGCACTTGTATCTGTGCCCAAGTTTGTACTTCCACTTTGTAATATCTTCACCAACATCTGGCTAATATTACAGAGCCTAGATCGAAATTCGATCTGGATTACTTGTAAATGCGAAAGTGAGTTTGTTAGTTGGTCCTTCTGATATAATTCTTTGAAGAGACAGTTTATAAACTAGAGGGTGTTCTGGTAACTGTATAACCCATTTCATCAAAGATAATTTCGGTTTTGTATTAATAGATTCCAAATACTTAATGAAGAAATCTCTAAATAATAAATATGTTGGGACATTAAACACAGCACCATATAGTTCCATGGTAAGCTACGAGGCCTGTGTTATGGATACCAGATAGTTGATACACTACACATAGGTATATAACTTTAAATACATACATATTATAAATATAAACATCCATGACTGGAGCACAAACATTCGTCATCTTACAAATGAATGCCCCCAGCGGGACTCGAACCCGCGACCGCTGGCACAGCAAGTAGGGTCACTATAAACTGAGCCAAACGTGTCGTAAATGTAGGTAAGATAAAAGAAAAATGAGACTGAATCACAAGTACTCAAATTATAACATTGTCAAAGTTAAAATTATCATCTTACTTTTCTATGAAAGCTTCATTAAATTGGTTTTCACGTACGAAGTACTATACTGAAATATTTTGTCCTCCCCGTTGGTGTATATGTATGTATGTATGTATACATATATGTATGTATGTATGTATGTATGTATGTATGTATGTATGTATGTATGTATGTATGTATCGTGTCTTTCATCTTAACGATGTTAATTTATATGGACATTTCCTACGTGTCGGTAAAATACCGAAAAATCATAAAAAATATAGGAATCCAAAAAGAAAAATCTGAAATTTTTTCGTAAACTTAACTAAACTAATCAAGTAGAACGTAATATAACATTTAAAACATGAATTTTACCATCTTAAGTTGTATAACGAATGAATAGAACTTAAATGAATATCATGATATATGTAAGAACCTGATTTCGCTGAATTCCTTCATTGATAGAATCTTTAGACCAAATATGTGGGCGTTTCTTTATATGCGAAAGGATGTGAGTCATTCCAATTTATCACAATTCAGTTGCATTATATCCATCGATAAACAAACGTGAAGGGGATGTATGTTTCCGTTTTGTATAATTCAAGGGCGTAATTAAACGATATTGGTCGTGATTTATCGCTTTTGTAGTCTAGGTTTTGTAAGGCTTTCCTTTCAAAAGAACTGAATATTCAGATATTCTCTCAGGTTAATGGCATCTAGTAGGTCTTGCATTTGGTATATGCGATATTCTGTAAAGAAATTTTTAGTCTTTGAAAAGCTGGCAGCATTCATATAAACAAACCTTCAGGAAATGTGAAACCGTTTTAAAATCGGTTATGTTTGTCTAGAACTAAGCACACAAACAGACATACACAGATAGTGGCTTTGTTTTTTTACTTATTTATTGTAAACAATAGGTACGCGACAGTCTACATTTAATTGTCAGTAACTCATTAAAACAAGTACCTACACTGAATGAAAAGTTAATATCTCAATCTCAGACAAAGGTCCGTAATAAAAGAGCTTTCAAGCTAACCCTCACTGTGCTATTTGGAATTGTTCCCATTGCGCATATTTAACTAGCTTTAAAAAATGGATGGAAATTCGTATATTGCGAAATTTACTGTGCCGTTGTACTTCATCAAATATTTTTCATCATCAATGATTTTGTTTTTCTTGTTTATGTTAAGCAGTGATTGATCTCGAGGTACTTACAGTTTATTCATAATCGTAAAAATCTGTTCACAATAAGTTAAAATATCGTTTATGACAAAAAAGCCCAAATTAAAACTGGAAACTTTGGAAACTGTCTGTAAATAGTTTTCAATAATGATATGGATTCTAATGAACCCATGAGTAAATTACTTACCATATTTTTGGATGTAGATATGATTGGCGCAATGATATGTGCAGAATTTAATTTCTTCTTCTTCAAGTGCCTCTATATTACTGAAGATCGGCAGTCATCCTCTTGAATTCTACTTTTTTTATCGCTAGCGTGGATAAATTTTCAACCCTCTTTATCCCGGTTTATATTGGGATGTTACAGAGCCAGAATTTAATTTAACGCAGAAGTTAGATATAGTTACGTATATTCATAGTGTGTGTGTGTGTGTAGTAAGGCAGTGAGTGGTAGCCCAGTAAGGCAGTGGTAGCCCAGTGGTAACGCGCTCGCTTGGGAAACCGAGTGAAGCGGGTTCAAATCCCGGGTCTCGCATCTCTGATATTTTCATGTGCGAATCATTTCTAACATGATTACCACTTGCCTTACGGTGAAGGAAAACATCGTGAGGAAACCTGCATGTCTGAGAGAACCTAGCAAGTTTTCGAAAGACATGTGAAGTCCGCCAACCCGCACTTGGCCAGCGTGGTGGACTATGGCCTGATCCCCTCATATTGAAGGGAGGCCCGTGCCCAGCAGTGGGACGTCATAAAGAGCTGAATACATACATACATATTCATAGTTAGGATAAACTAATAACTTCCATTAATATAAAACAACTACATCTAGGGTGATTATGACGGCACCAGACTTATTTGTAGAGGATCAAATCAAATTATTAATCAAAGCTTAGTTTGGCTTTAAAGCTTTAAAATTTACGCCAACAAATGAGTTGCTAGCTATGTACGGACTACGTAATTATTGCATTTCTTGATAAAAAAATCTGCTTTTATCAAACTTTTTTTCATTATTATGTCATTTGATGATTTCGGTTAAAAGCTTTGTCTGTTGAAATATATTTTTTTATTAACTCAATAGAAGTCAACTTAGTACTCCCATTCGTTTTGTACCTATAACTTACGAAAATATATATTCTTCTAGCGGCTAAGGTTGAGTGTTGTCAGCCAGTCAGTCAGTCAGTGGTGGTTTTCAATGACCTGTCTGATCCTTACTATAGATAGAAAATGGATATAAGCTTCAAACACATTATGTCAACTCAAATTCCTATCGCTAGTAAGGAAAATCACAGATAGGTAATTGGAATCCTACGGAAGAAAATGATGTTTTAGTTATTTTCATAACGTCATATATTCTATTTGTAATAAATATTATGCAGCATGTTATATTATTAATTTACGAGGCGATAATTCGATTGCAATATCGATTTCAGACTAATTGAGTTTGTGTATTCAGTCAGATGTAAGCAGGCGTGTTTTGTACGTGTTTTGTACCGTGATGCGTTAACGAGTTAATTTGTAGCGCGTGTATTATATTATACTAGTATTGCCCGCGGCTCCGTCCGCGTTCAGATAAACAAAAACCAAATTCTTAGTTTTTACATATTAGTATACTCTAAGATTACAGTTATTATATTTTTCAGCAAAATCCCTCCAGTGGTTTTTCTGTGATGCGATAACAGACAGACAGAGAGACAAAATATCTAAAAACTATAGATTCGGCCTCTGTATCGATAATAATGTTTATTTCAATAAGGTTTTCCAAAAAATACCTAATGTACAGATTCGGCTTAGTTACAATTTTATTATATGTGTAGATATAGGTACATTGTAAATGTATTGTAATTATATGATTGTTTGTTTATATGATTGTATGAAATGAAAAAGATGATGGAAGTCATATTTGAAAAAAGAACCTTTTTGTAAAAGTAAAACCGTAACTATAATAATACAAAATTGGATCCAAATTGATATAGCCGTTTCCGTGATACATGAAATAAATGTACCTATAATATATAAAATAATTGCTCATTTAATATTATAAGGTTTAAAAATATACTTTACGAGCTACAGGAGACAATTTTTCTGACTTAAATCAAATTCAAAATATCATCACACCGATAGATCATTTTTGCAAAATGATTATGACCTTAGATTATCCCTCTTTCTATTGATGAAAATCTTATGAAAATCAGTACAGTAGTTCCTGACTTCTGGGATTAATTAGCTCGAACAAACACAAACTCAACTTAAAATTTATAATGTGTAATATTTAAAAAATCCTCCAATCACTTGCGCTTACGCAGCCACCTTTTTGATATGTAAGTTACCTATATGTATTTAAAATGTATCTTTTTTGTTACAGCACACTAGTCCCCTGGAAACATTTTCGAGAAGAGCTGAACAACGTGCATCCCATATCGTCAGGGTTAGAGACGATGGCGCTAAAAACAACAATAGATCTGACCTGCAATGACTTTATATCGAATTTTGAATTTGATGTGTTCACAAGGTTAGTAGCTTACTATGTATATATTATATATATTTTTAAATAAAACTATTTTTTCTGATTATTTCGCGGATATATTTTGATGCTTTACAGCAATCATTGTCACGGGAGAGACTAAGAGACCAATCGGAATCCGTTTATTTTTAAGAGATTTTTTTTAATTCAAAACCTGAAGTTTTGTGAGTTTTAATGAAATTGAAGTGTCTGTTTATAATGTGAAATAACAGCTTTTTACTTTACATATGAAATTATACGAAAACTCATTTTTTTAATTTTTGTCTGTCTTTCTGTCCCAAAAAAATTAAAACGCGAAGCGAGGGTAAGTCGCTAGTGTCTTATATAATTGTTAGAAGTAAGACGTAAAATTGTAAATGTAAGACTGAAAATAAAATGCTATTTTATTTGGTTATTATAGATATTAATCATTTTAACCAAGTACTTATTTAACGTACCTACTTTATTCTATAAAAAAGATACCTAGATAAAGAAATTTTAGTTATTTTTCTTGAAGCTTTTATATTACTCTAACATTTTATTCACATTTTTAAAATGCGCATACTAAAATATAACCAAAATGCGATCTACATTAGAGAAACGTTGCGAAAAGAAATAAATGAATGCTTTTGATAACTTTCCACAGTACATTTAAGGCTGGATTCACGTTGTTTTATTATTACATTTTATACGACACTTTAGTTTGTGTAAATCACTGGTCATGGAATTGAAAAAAATAAAAATTACTGTTAGATTACATCTTATTTATTTGTTACTGTGTTAAAGTGATGGTCATAAGGTAGACTTTTATTTAAAAAAAAGTTACAAAAAAAAACCGAGTGCGTAAAAAGCGAACTAAAACGATGAAAACAAGTTGATGAAGGATCATAGTATTATGCAGTCGGAGACATATACTATATTTAAATTGTACGCGTTTTGTAATAGTTGCACAATTGCACATAAAAATTATATTTATAGTGGAAATAGAGCCTTATACACTTATTATATGCGTGCAGCAAATATTTTCCGTCTGGCGTATTGTTGTAGGCCGAAGGATAATCCGGATTCCTTCGGGTGTATTCTATTCAGGCTTTATCAAAACGGCGCAGCCATTTAAACTCTGTAACAAAGAAGTGGATGAAATTTTTAAATATTTAATATTTATATTGTATTTAGCCATTTTAACGTCCTAATGCTGAGCACGGGCCTACCTTCAATGCGAGGGGGATCAGGCCATAGTCCACCAAGTTAACTTAGCTGGCCAAGTGCGGGTTGGCGGATTTTACATGTCTTTCTAAAACTTGCTAGTTTCTCTCAGACATGAAGGTTCTTTCACGATGTTTTCCTTTACTATAAGACAAGTGGTAATAATGTTGGAAAATGATTCGCACATGAAAATATCCGACTTGCGAGACGATTACCACTTTACACGCAAGCGAGCGCGTTACCACTGGGCTACCACTGCCTAATATAATATGTATAGAAGTGAAAAATATTGTAGTCTCCTACAAATTAACGAAATTAAAAAAGGTTCTTTTTTTAAGGTGTTCCCTGAATATGACAATTTTAAATTATGGTACCTACAGTCTTAAATATTCAGAAAACCTCAATCATATTACACTTTAAACATTTTTTTTAAATTAGCAACCTGTCCGGGCTGATTATTTTGAATTTGACAATAGAAATATTTTATTTTCCATAATATATTAAACACATTTTTAGAGATTCTCTCAGTAGAGAAGGAATTTCAAAAATCCTTTTGTTTCAGTTAGTTATGTCACTTCAGGGAAATACTGTCTATTCAAATATTACATTTCTTTTATTTAAATTTAATAAATGGACTATATGACCTGATTGCCCTTGCGTTGAAGGGAGGCCCTGCCCAGCAGTGGGACATTAAAAAGGGCTCAATAAGATGATGCAAGGTGCAATAAAGATGAAAAAACTATTCTGATCGATAAACTTTATCCCACTATTTCTAGATTATTTCAACCCTGGAGCACTCTGCTACGTAATTGGCAGTTACTAGCGGTCACACATCCCGGTTACGTCGCGTTCCTCACTTACGACGAGGTGAAGGCGCGCCTGCAGAAATATATACATAAGGCAGGAAGTTATGTGTTTAGGTAAGATGGTGTTTTTTAATGTTTGTATTTATTTTCTATATTCTATCTTTTATCTAGCTATATATGTATATTGTACTCGTATATAAAAACGAATGTTTGTATGTTATGATTCGATTGTGATGAAGCTGGTGGGTTTTTCCGCACTCGCTTGCGAAAGTAAAAAAAAATCGTTCTTTGGATGTTAGTCTTATATGCGTTCCTAAAAGGGACGCACCCGAGCGAAGCAAAGGTAAGTTACTAGTCTATATGCACATAAAAGAAGAATATTTGTATGGCTTTTTGTCTATTTGTTTGTAATTTTCTTGACCGATATCGAGGAAAGCTTTATAAATATTACATTCATTCCCGTCCGGAATAGTTAGTTTTAATAGAAACTAAACTAAAACTTGCAATAATATTTTCATTGAAATGAATTTAATAAAAAAATAAAAAATTAGCGTAAAAATATTATTATTATTATTATTATGTAATTAAAAAAAATGTAGATACTTAATTCACTTGCCTAAAACGAATATCTCTAACCTATTCGAATAGACTATCTTCCTACAAATGAAATTATCTCTACATTATCTAAGTAGTATTAAAGAATGTTATATTTAAGCACTAGGCATTATATCTCGCAAGCATCAAGGACCATTCATGTTTTATGGAGTACTTTAGAATATGCAAATGGATGCAATATTTAGATTGCGTCTCATATTCGGATTGGATGAACGTGATTCAAATAGTGATTCTAGCACTTATTGTTCAAGAATAATTCAATGTTTTCGTGCCTATTAGTAGACCTAGATCCCTCTACAAAATATGGTTTAATGTAGCGTCCGGTAGTGGCTGTGTGAACTTGACACCCGACTTATGAAAAATTGATCTTTTTTTAGGTTTATTTGAAAGATTTCGGTTAGTAGTGGATAGTAGTGAAGCTAACTTCGTTTGTAGTAGTGTCAAAAAAAATACAGAAAAAAATGGCATCCCCCCGAAGTTGGAAAAAAATTCCGCTTGATTCTTATAGAAAAATGTTAGTACTGGTTTGTAGTGCATTTTTTCGTTTTTAGTAAGTAATACAAAAAAAAATTGTTTTTAAGTATTTTTGCAGAACGATTTTTACTACATAAATTCAATTTGAAAGCCAATACGATTACTATTAACGCTAAAAGACTAAAAAACATTCGTAGAGGTTACTAGTGGAAGAATTTTCAAGTGTATTGGAACAGATGCTGATAAGAAGATAAGCGTTTGTAGATGTTTGTATTAGCGTTAAGTTTGTTTCTAGCAACTTTTCTTTGTTTGTAATTGTTTCACACAACCTTCGGTAGTTTGCATTTCCACTCATGGCTGAACCGATACAGGAGTTACAGCTGCGATTACAGACGTGGTTTTTGGGTGGTAGCTTAAGTCCTAAAGGAAAGTCAAATCAAACTCAGTTCGTTCTGGTTAATGCTGGCAGAGTTTATGTCGTTACTTCTTAGGTTTTGGGACACTAGTTTTCTGATATGTTGTGTGTAGATTTAAAATGTCGGCGTATATTTTTTTGCAATTCAATTGTTTTCTTAATGGCTTTTAATGTGCCAGTTGAAAATATTATTTCGCCAATGTGAGGAAGAATGGAGAAGATATTACTGAGATTGGTCGGTGAAATGAGGATTAATAAATTGTTTTAGCATGTGAATAAAAGGAACAAATCTTGGACGCCCAAGTATGTAGTTATGAGGGATAAAAAATAATTTGACCTATCTCATAACAAATGTGAATATTCTACATTGTTGGCTTTTTAATAAATGATTTGTTTTAATCCGTCGAACCCGCGACCGACATGTTAAAAACAGATCACTCAGACCACTTGACTTTTTCGCATGTAAATAATGTGATTTTTCATACTTTACAGGTTATCGTGTACTCGACTCGGGCAATGGGCGATAGGCTACGTTACAGTGGACGGCGAAATTTTACAAACTATACCGCAAAATAAAAGCTTAGTCCAAGCGTTGTTGGACGGGTATAGAGAGGGATTGTAAGTGGGTTTGATTTTCTCAAATATATGTACATGTATAGGATTTATATGTATTTCTTTTTACTTGTTTTAAGTCTAAACCTAAGTTTCAAAATAAAAAAAGAATGAAATTTTGTATGTATATAAAAGATGCATTTATTAGATAGAATTATAAATTTAGTTAGTACATTAGTAAATATTAGAGTTACTTTCATTATTTATGAACTAATTAATGCTAATTTATATTTTTTTTTGTCTACACAGTCAATGTCATCTAAACTCTATTAATTTTTGTGTTATTAATCGTTGTATCTATTGAAATCCAGATAATATGTATTAATATTAAATAATGTGAAAGTTTGTGAGTATGGATGTTTGTTACTCTTTCATGCCAAAACGGCGATTTGGATGAAATTTGGCCAAAGATAGATTATAGTATATATAGTATAACACACAGGCTACTTTTTATACCGAAAAAATGTACGGTTCCCGTGGCATTGGTTTGATTTTGTTTTCCTAGAGCCGCTAGTAGGTATACGATAATTTGATGTTATATGGTAATTTGATACCAATAAGCTGGTCTGTCGGATTTAGGAGAGTAGCGAAACCTTCAATTTTAGGCTAATGTCGTACATCTTCATGAGTCCTATAAAGTACACTTGATCGAAACCTTTTTTTTTAATTACGTAGCCTAATAGTCCTAAATATTAAACCTAAAATAAGAATAAAATTTATTTATAAAAATATATCATTTGCAGAATATTCAAAATTAAAAATGTTTAATATAAAAATGTTTTATTATACGCTCCCCTATGTTACTCCAAGTCATAGTCTTATCTGTGTACTGAATTTTATCTGAATCTGTCCAGCCAGCCGTTTCTCGTTCTGCATGAAGAAGTAACAAACATACGTGGAAACTTTCGCATTCATAATAATGATGATGATGATGATGATGTTCTCCTAGCCGATTCTGGCCACGGCGGCCAATCTCAATGAGATTAGCCAACTGCGCAGGAGATATTATAGTGCTCAAGTGTACGCGCAGACACAAGTGCACTCTCTATTCCTATCACTCTCATACTCCGGTGGGACGACCACTCGACACGACCGGTGAGAGTTAAGGCGCAGGACCGACGGCTTTACGTGCTCTCCGAGGCACGGGGGTGAAACACCGCCAACTTCCCAACTCCGGGCTGTTACTGAGACTTACTATACAGGAAGACTCAATAACTAAACTTGGCCCGACCCGGGACTCGAACCCAGGACCTCCGGGTGTGCAGCCGTACATGCTAGCCACTACACCACCGAGGCAGTTATTCATAATAATAGTACGATATTTAATATATATTTAATATTTCAGTTACCTTTATCCAGACGGTCGGGATATAAATCCAGATTTGAGTTCGGCGATAATATCGCCCGCAGAAGACCATATAACCGTGACGCAGGAACAGTACGAGTTGTATTGTGAAATGGGTGAGTTTGATATAGCTTAGATGTCCTTCCGACTGAGCCCAATAGATTATATATAATAGCTTATGCTTATCCAGAATATAAACTATCTCCATTCCAAATTTATCTAAAATGCGTTGAGCCGTTATAGTGTTAAGAAATACATATTTTGGTATTTGTAATATGTATGTATTTAGTTCTATTTAACGTCCCACTGCTGGGCACGGGCCTCCCTTCAATACAAGGGGGATTAGGCTATAGTTCACCACGCTGGTCACGTGGACTTCACATGTCTTACGAAAACTTGCGAAGTTCTCTCAGACATGCAGGTTTCCTCGCGATGTTTGAAATAATTCGCACATGAGAATATCTGAGGTGCGAAATACGGGATTTGAATCCACTTCACTCAGTTTACCAAGCGAGCGCATTATCATTATTTGTAATATGTAATTGAATAAATTATATTTTACTATATTTTTTAATTATAGTATTTCAAATACATACATTTATTAAAAAAAACTATGAAAATACATAATATATTATGTACTTTTAATACCTAAGTAACCAAAAATTGTATCTATTGATTCATAAGTCTAACTCCTATCTATTATTTGTTTTTTTTTTATTTTTTTTTTATAATATCTAATATCTTTTTTAATTTACCTTTCAGGGAGCACATTCCAACTGTGCAAGATATGTGCGGAAAACGACAAAGATATCAGGATAGAGCCGTGTGGACATTTACTATGTACGCCGTGTTTGACCGCCTGGCAAATTGTGAGATTTCGATTTATTTTTAAGTTTTTATTTGCAGTAAATAGTAATAATTCATCCTATTTTAATATTTGAAAACATAGTTATGCAGAGAAAAAATGTATCTGTGGTGTTTTTTTTTTTCATTTAAAAGTCTCACCGGAATGTGTTCAGATAATTTAAATTATTTGAACGAAAAAAAATATTAAATAGATTAACTAAAATAATTTCCTTCCCCAGGACTCAGAAGGTCAAGGGTGTCCATTTTGCAGGGCGGAAATCAAAGGGACGGAACAAGTTGTGGTGGACGCGTTCGTGCCGCCTCGACCGCCGAACACAACGGCCGATGTTAAGTGAGTGTTTGTTTGTTTGTTTATTTATTTAATACAACTATTTTAAATAAAACCTATATTTTTTGGATTTCTTAGCGGATTCAATTTGATTTCCGGTTGCCGATGTTTCGAAAGCAATCATGGGCACGGGAGAGATCTGTTTGTTTGTTTCTTTTTTTTTGTTGATCTACTTTTAACTGCCTCGGTGGTCTAGAGGCTAGCGTGTATGGCTGCAGATCTGGACGTTCTGGGTTCGAGTCCCCGGGTCAAATCAAGTTTAATTGACGAGTGTCGTCCCTCCGGAGTCTAAGAGTGACAGGAATAGAGAGTGCACGTTGTGTCCGCGCGTACACGCGCTGCACTATAATATCTCCTGCGCAGTTGGCTAGTGTCAATGAGATTGGCCGCCGTGGCCGGAATCGGCTAGGAGAACATCATCATCATCATCACACTACACATATATAACTTTAAATACATACATATTATAAATATAAACACCCATGACTGGAGTATAAACATTTGTGCTCATCACACAGTAGTATGTCAACTAGTATGTCATGTGTAGTGTATCAACTATCTGGATACCAGATAGTTGATACACTACACAAGCTTACCATGGAACTGCTGTGTGTTAATGTCCCAACATATTTATTTATTTATGTCTTCTCCATTCTATGTGATATTGGTGATGTAATCTGTGCTCTACTGGCACGTTTGGAACCCATTTACAAGAGATTTGAATTGAATTGAATAGTAAAATATTTTATATTACAGAATAGCAAACACAAAGACTGCAGTGAAGCCGGTGTCGTCTAACTCGTCTGGGTCCTCCGGCTCTTCAGGCTGTAATGGTTCAAGTGAGTTATTTATATTATACTAGCCTCAGCCAGCCATTCATCATTAGCACTATCTGCTAGAAAATACAAACAAATACAAACTTTCTTCCCCATTTTCACCCCCTTAAGGGATGATTTCCGTAAAAAAGTAACATATGTCCTTCCCAGGGTCTCAAACTATCTTCTTACCAAATTTCATCTAAAGAGAGTGGATCCAGAGATTACCCTCTATAACGTCACAAACTCACAATTCACAAACTCACAAACTAGACCTCTTTATAATATTAGTATAGACTAGTGACTCAACCTCGCTTCGCTCGGGTTCGTCCCTGTAGGTAGGTATTAATTTTATTGACCGAAACCCTAATTCTTTTTCTAAAATAAAAATGTAGCCTTAATTACTCCTTATAGATTTTTTCTTTTAAGTACTGTATACAATTTCATAAGCATTTAGTGAAGAGCTGTTATTTTGACATTACAAACAGACACTTCAATTTTATTAATCTCTATAGACTAGTGACTCACCCTCGCTTCGCTCGTTTTAACGGTTACTATGGAATAAATGATAGATGATAGTTTTATATATCCCTTACTTGAGAAATTATTGATTCCCCATGCAAACTTTTAAAATTTTCGTATTTATATATATTATAGTATATAATTAAAGTAATCCGATTAGATACTATCTTACAATTAACTGTGATAAAAAGAGAAAATGTGATATGAACTATCTTCCTGCAAAGTTTCATCCAAATCCGTTAAATGGTTTATACTTTATTGAATAAGAGAACAAACACACATACATCTTCACTAAATAATTATATTTGTATTCTTTCTTTTTACTTCAGGTAGTGAAGTCACAATTTCAAGTAATTCAAACGGTTGGTCGTCACGCAACACTACGTTTAACGGTTTGACTGATGACATCGACGATCCGGAGGTAAATAAATCAATTTTAACATTCGAATTTCAAATTATTTCAAGATTAATTGCATTAAACAATTAATTAATGAATTTAATGAAATAACTGAATTAATGATGTAATTGGTGTTCGTTTTATCATTTTGTAGCCCACTCTTTTTTTTCTATTTTATATTCAAGCATGTTTATGCATTTTGAATGTTCTAGTTCTAGCATGTGTATGTTTGTGGGTTGTTTTTTATGGATTTTATGTCATTGTTAGGTGATATCATTTTTTTATTATTGTTATTTAATTTAATTGCATTGCAATATAAAAAATATTAATTTCAAAGTTAAGTCAAATCGGTTAAAACATTTATATAATACATATGGAATTAAAACAACTTTACATTCATCTAATGAAAAAAAAATGTAGTATTAAAAACTTGTTTTTTTTTACATATTTTTTTTTTGTATATGCAATGCCATTGAATATAAAGTAGCATGTTCATAGTATGTGTTTGTTTCGCAGAGGCGGAGAAAATCGCCACATGCTTAATGTATGGATACAACGGACATTCCATTTTAATTCTATATATATATAGTCATTATGTGGGTGGCTAGCGTGAATATATTGATATTTTTTATTTTATTTTAAGAAATATCATATAACATATAACATTTCTTAACTTAATATATAATATACTGGTGACTTAATCTCGCTTCGATCGGGTGCGTCTCCGAGTGCCTTTTTTTTTAAGCGGAACCTCATTTTTTTTAAATAAAGTAGCCTATGTTACTCCATATAACCGTTTCGGAGATTATATAGGAACAAACAGACAGACAAAAATTAAAAAAAAATGTGTTTTTCTTGTAAGTATAGTATAAAATTTCATATGCATTTAGTAAAAAGCTGTTATTTTAACATTACAAACAAACATTTCAATTTTATTTATCTGTATAGATATAGAAATAGTGCGACAAAACTTAGCATGCAAATAATAATCGATGAAAGATAAAATTGTACTTACATATTTAATTATATTCTAAACGATCTATTTATAGACATTTCTAATCAATAATTCCAAGAAAACTTAACATAAATAATACTTTGAACTTGTTTTTTTAATGAACTACAAAATTATATTTTTAACTGCTTTAAAATCAATAAAGCCAGTTGAGTTGACATTAATTAACGTCACACGTTGCTATTGCCATACAAAATGTATAAGGGAGTCGCGGTTTGACAGATCTTATTAAAAAAACTATCTTTTCGGATTTATTTAGATTTTTTGTTCCCGAGATCTTTTTGAATCAAGTTTTTTTTTAACTATTAATTTCATATTTCCTTATTTATTAATTATGAAATAAAAAAAATGAATGAAAACCCGTCAAACTCCAAATGTTGAAACATTTTGACATATCGACATATTCACGCTAGTCATAAATATTATGTGTACTGTGATTTTGTTTGTTTGTTTATTTGTTTGGTTTTTTTTAATTTTTATTATTTTTTTAAAGATATTTTTATTTAATTTGAAACTTTTTCGTTAATTTGTGATTCAGAAAATAAACTTCAAAGCAATTCAAATCACAGTACAAATATTAATTAATAAATTAATTGCATTAATTGTTTCATTTTAATGGTAATGTACAGTTAATATCAAAAATGTGTAAAAATATTAATTAATTAATTATTCATTAATAATAATTATATTTCGTTCATTTATTTCATTTTAGTTGTTTATGTTGTTCGTTTTTGTTATTAATTGTACGTAATTTTTCTTTTTTAACGAGGGCGGATTTTTTTAATTAACTTTTTTTTAAATCAAATGATTTTAAGTTGTCAATCTAAATTGTATAAATATATATAATAAATTATATTATAAAAATAAATTAGATTTTTAAAGATCCGTTCGCCTTATATATTGGACTGAGCACTAAAATACTTTACATATTACTCAATCATATTGCAATACATGATATATAATAAAGGCGTTAGAATAAAAACTTTCACCTACGTAAAAACGTTTACAAACAGACGGGCAGACAAAAATTCTAAAAACTATAGATTCGGCTTCTGTATCGATATTAATGTTTATTTGAATAAGATTTTCCCAAAAATATCTAATGTACAGATTCGACTTAGTTACAATTTTATTATATGTAGCTATAGATAACGCATCCAATATTGCCTTCATATGTAGAAGTAAGTTGAGCAAAATTCCAATAAAATAACGAAAAGTTCCAAAAGAGACGTTAAACCAATTTAAAAAGAACTAAAATTGCATTATACGTTTGTTTCTGAATAATTTTGTGTTTCACAAAAAAAATGTGGATTTATTTATTGAAGTTTTTATAAAATTAACAAAAGATGATAAGTCTAACACAAGTATATTAGTTATGGTTTTAAAAAAAATCTTTGTAAACGAAAACAATATAATGCTTAAATTAATTTGTGTAATTTTTCTGATTATTGAACAATCGGCATCAGATAAAGGGTTTGTATTGGATATTCATAGATGGCGCTCTTAATTTTTGTCAGTTGTTTCTTAAATCTCAGTTAAAAACTATTAGTCAATGTTTGTTTTATTAAAATCAAGTAAGACAAGTTGAATCTTGATGAAGCTTCAATTATTAATTAGTTTCCGTCCGAAACTTATTTTTGTTTTATGTAAATTTGTTACTTAATTATTAGTATGGAAAAAATAGACTATATATAATATATATGTAGGTCTAATGAGTTGTGGGTTATATTGTAAGTTGTTTTCCCGCGGGAATTAGACAATCTCCCGCGGTATAAAGTAGCTTAGTCACTCTTCAGTCCTCGAACTTTCTCCACACAAAAAATCACGCCAATCCATTGCTCTGTTTCAACGTGAAAGAAGGACAAACAAACAAACATACTTTCACATTTATAATATTAGTAGGGAAGTAGGGATTATATACATCTGTCATAACGCCTTTATTATTTATACATATATAGGTACATTAAAAATCATTAATATTTCAACAAATCATATACATACTTAATTAGTCAATTATTTTTAACTTAGATATAAAATAATTATAAGAAAATGCAAGTATTTAATGTAGGTAATTTAAATTATTGAATAGTTTTACTCGAATTTCAAAATGGCGCCGAAAATACAATAAAAGTGACGTTTTATGTTTATTTCAAGTAGTGTGTTTCAATGAAATATTGTATATTAATAATTTATTATATAATACTAATTGATATTCATTGTTTTGATTGAGGTGCAATGGCATGTGTGGTTTGTACTGACTTATATGTATGATATAGCTGGTTCGATTTCGTAAGTGAATGTTTATGGATGATATTAATTTGATATATCGCGGCGTTAGTTTAAAAGAAAAAAAATGAAGATTAGATTAATTTACATCTCTCTCTCTCTCTATCCGCCTATTTAGACAGAGAAAAAATGGAGAATATATTCGTTTTTATAATGGAAGGTCTCACGCGAAATAGAGCTTGATGTCACTTTTGTTATTATGACGTTTTATTACATTTTTGAAATTTCAAAGGGTTTTTTTTAAGTATATTTGAATACAAAACAATAAAAATCATTATAGGATAATAATATCATTACTGACGATGCCTGGTAATATTAACATACTTAATCAATCGATTATTTTGTTAGTGGCTCCAAGAAAATATTATCGTTTTAACCAAACTGACATTTTGTCACTCAACATACTTTTCCCCTCATATTATTTGTTTTCTATTGGCAGTGATAAGATTATTTTCCCAACGATCCCCATCGATCAAAAATACTAGATACAAAATCCCATGCAAAAGTTCTCTTAAAACTGTCACCAATTGTGTTTAGGTAATTATACTAGTTGATATAAATATTACATATATGAAATAAATTTAATTTTTAAAATTAAAAGCGCGCTCATGTTCAAATGAGCGCTCATTCGGTGAGGACATTTTTTGTAGCTGTGTGTCTTGTGCTTTTTTGATCGATGATAATCCCTCTATATTTATGCCTTCTGTCTCTTCTAGACACACGCGAAAGAAGCGAGTAAGAACTAAGTACTTATAAAGCACTAGTAGCTTACCTTTACTTGATATTTTAAATAAAACTATCTTTTCGGATTTATTTCGATTTTTGGTTCTCGACGTTTCGAATGCTTCACAGTGATCATGGTCATAGGAGAGACTAAGGTTTTAGACATCTCAAACGCATCATATACTTGTTACAGACAGTGCCTACCCACAATTTTACAAAAATCAAAATAAATCCGCGAAATAATCCGAAAAGATACATAGTTTCTTTTAAAATGTCAAATATTCGCGTAAATCCAAGAAAGTGTTATGTCACTTGATTTTGTGTTAGCTTTTCACTTTTTCTTAGTGTCACTATTAGTACTAACTGTATGTCGCAGTGAGACCTCCCGTTTTACATATATTTTATCATTCAATAAATATAATTATGATAGTTCTACAAAAAAATATGAACGACAGAAAAAATTGCTATAAAAAACACTGTGATGTTATTGTAATATTGTTTTTGGTATTAAAAATATTAAAATGCAGCTATTATAGATACATATAAATACACCGGGTGATGCATGTCCACAGATTATGGATGTTTTAAGCTATTAAGTTAATTATTTGCATATTTTTAGTCTATAATTATTTTTTTTACGTTTTTTGTCTATGAATTATTTATTTGTAAGTTTAATTTAAATGTTGACAATATACGCTTGAATGAATGTGCTTTTTGTGTTTTCTTTTGCGTTTGCATCCTTATTGCTTCTGTTATGTTCACATTTCTTTATTTTTTTTTCTATTGGACATAAATTTGGTAATTATTTTTCGTAATTTTCTTTGTTAATGTGCATGGGGCATGGAATTTATTAATTGCAACAAAAAATTGCCCTTAGATTATACCCTAATCATTATGGGTACCTACATTTTTTGATTAAAATATTGAATTTCGATATACGACATAGGACAAATAAAAATAATAACATTTTACTTGAAGTATAAAATATTTATTAGAAAAAAAAATAAAGCAATCTTCTAATAAAGTGAACTACTTCTTGAAAGCAGCCAATAAGAAAATTTCTAGTATGAAAACAGAATATTAGATAGATACAAAAAACAAATATATGCAAGAACGTTATATAAAACTTTATAAGAATTTAGAATGGGAAAAGATGAGTTTCGATATTTTCAAATAATATAATTTCAGCTTTGGCTATTCATTTCATGAAATATAATTAAGTAATAAAATTGATATCTTTTCTTGATTCTTGAATTTAGAATGTACTGATAAAAATGTATCTTATATGATATTGTAAAATGACTACCTCTTATTGAAATTTTGATATTGTATACGCGATATGTTTTGTTTGTATCCTTTAATCCCTGAATGACTTGAACGAATATTACTGAATTATTCAGATAAAAAGCACTTTGTAACATTATTTGATGAAAGTGATTTTATTCATGAATTCTCTTTCTGAGAATTTATTACAAACACTAAATAATAAAATAATAATTAAAGTAGTTCTCCCTGTAATAGGTATAAACTATAAAGTACTAGATACATATATGACATTCTTAGCGTACACAGACACATAGATTGCGATTTCAGACGTCAAACCATCTTTGTTTCTCTCTAGTTCACTTTAGAGAATATAAACTAAAATATAGTAAACTGTACAAAATATGAACTATATACTTTCTTTTTATACATTTACGAATAAAAATAAAATAAAATAGAAAGTCATGGGGACTGCCGACAGAAGTGAAAACTTATAAGTTTGTTTTTTAATTTTTAAATTATTTAGAGGATAATTAACATGTCATAATTTGTAAATTGAAATTATTATTAGTCTGGTTTTCATATTCATTGACACTCTGAGCATTATTTACATTTTCATATAGTTTATTTATTAACAAAACATATGACGCTGCGCGTCGCCAGTCTGCGCCAGACTGCGTCACACGAAACATGTCGATGACGCGAACCCATAATTTTCCCTAACAAAAAATCGCTCAACGTAGTTAATGAAGTTTTTACTTTAAAACACCAAAATTTACTATACATCCACTAGGACTGGGCAGAATTCAACGCAGCAACATCTACTATAGATGCTCTCCGTCCGGGAGTTAGATCTGCAGGGGCTTCCCCCCGACACTCTCCGCGTGCTACACGGAGAGCACCCGCGCCTGCAGAGAACGCGTACGGAGAGTTACGAGCTCCTCCGCTACCTCCTAGGAAAAGTCTTTCTCCGGCGGAGACTATTGCTGCCGCGTCTAGTGTTCAGGATATAGCTTCCGCTAGTATTATGGGTGAGCAGTATTGATTACATAATACTTTCTTAAATTTACGCGAACTTTTGACATTTTAAATAAAAATATCTTTTTGGATTTTTTTGCGGATTTATTTTGATTCAGTCAGTTTCTTTCGTGACGATGATTGCTCTAAATCATTCGAAACGTCGGAAACCAAAAATCCGCGAAAAAACCAGAAAGATGTTTTATTTAAACTGATCACATAGTTCATGACGTTAGGGTTTAAAAGCGGTGAGGTTGTGTCAATAAGTGTGACATAAATTTTAAATCAAAGATGGTTTTTTTAGATTTGAGATTGATAGACAAACCAAATTCTGTTAACGCAACTATAAGGAATTATAGAAAAAAAAACAAAACAAAATTAAGCTACAGTCTTCTGTTATGAAGGCCGTTAGTCATAGCGAGTGTTATAAGCGAGAGTGAGTCGTGAACTTCTTCACAATTTGACTGATTTGAGTGAAATTAATAATGGAGATAACCGTTTTTGATAAAATAAGCTTTATGACAAGCGAGGCATTGAGATAGTTGAGGGAAAACCTTGTTTCACAATATAATATATATTTTTACTAGTTAACCATATCATTATTAATAAGCGATATTATAAGAAAATCCATATTTTTTCCTAATTTTGCTGTTGCATATTTTCTAGAACCCCGCCGACGTTCTTCATTAGAACCTGAACCAGACTCCAGACACCGCCTTACATCAGTCATAACAGGCTCGACGGAAACAATTACTGGTCTCATTGATACTAGAAATCATGAGGTGAGTGTAAAGTTAGAAACAATATGACTTTTACTATAAAATATGACATCCAATGGTTTTAACACGGTATAAAGAAAACTTTTACATTTAGTTCAATAGAGATAGTGACATCGATTTGTATTTGTAATGTTCATTTGCAAATATTATATGTAATAACGGAATAATAGCAAAAGAAATAAGGTAATTTTAGCTAACAGATATTATTATCAATAAATAGGTTTAAATCGTATATTAATTTATATAATTTAACTATATAATTATATTCCAGGTACCACCAGACCCAAGAGCCTTTGAAAAACCACGAAGAGCTTGCACCCCACAATCTAATAGTAGACCACTTCCCGCACCACCCCCCGAAAGACAACCCGATAGAACTGACCCTAAACCTATACAAGACCGTCATATAAACGAAAGACTCTTACCAGATAAAGAGACCAGCAGTAGAACGGATAGATCATCAGAAAACAGAGTATTAGATAGACACACAGACAGATATATGCAAGAACGTCATATTGACTTTCGGAATCCCCCAGAAAGACCAGATAAACCTGATAGGAATTTAGAAAGGGATAGAACGAGCTTCGATAGGGACACGAGAGTGGAAAATAAAGCACCCCCCAGACAAAGATCGCTTCCAACATCAACATGTAGTACTAGTTTAGACCAACCGACTAAATCGACAACGATGCCAAAATTTCCCTCTGAGGATGTGAAGGATCCGCCATATGAAAACGTTGCGGTGGAAAAGAATGAATTGGCAGTTGCACGTAAGTTCTTTTTGCTGTTTTAATCTACAAGTAGTAGTTACTTTAAATAGATCAGTTTGTATTTGGGCTTACTCCTCATATTTATTACTAGCATTGCCCGCGGCTCCGTCCGCGTTCAGATAACCAAAAAGCAAATTCTTAGGTTTTACATATTAGTATACTCTTACAATGCAGTTTTTGTATTTTTTCTCAGAAATGAGATATTTTCCCGCGGTAAAAAGTATCCTTTATGTTGACTCGGATAAGCAGCTATCACCATACCAAATTTCATTAAAATCCCTCCAGTGGTTTTTCAGTGATGCGGTAACAGACAGACAGACAGACAGACAAAAATTCTAAAAACTATAGATTCGGCCTCTGTATCGATAATAATGTTTATTTCAATAAGATTTTCCAAAAAATATTTAATGTACAGATTCGGCTTAGTTACAATTTTATTATATGTATAGATTATTACCTGAGCGACCGGGCTTCGTTCGGCGTTTTTTCGGAAAAGTTGTAAAAACTGTTTTTTTTCAGAAAAGACATGCATACATACTATATACATAAACTTATCTAAATACAAAATTTGATCTAAATCGTTAGAGTCGTTTCCGATATACATGAAATAAATTTATGTATATTTAAGAATTGCTCATTTAATATTATAATATTATTATTTTTTTGCACGTGTCTTCTTTTTTTAATAAAATTCTCGTTAGTTTATCGTTGATATAGAAAATTTCTAATAATAAAAAATTTATTTTACACTACATGCTTTGTTTAGTCTTTCAAAATTAGTAAAAGACGTATGTATGTGTATCTATATCCCATTTCCATATTAATAAAGTAATTTGATTTAAGTTCTATAAAGAAAGTAATAACACAAATTTTCTTTTACAGCCAAAAAAATCAACCCTTTAACACACGACAAGCACGGCAGAAAATATGGGGATAATGTGTCATATGAAAATATAAACTTAGATTATATCGCGCGTTTAGTTAACGAGGGTTACCCAAAGGACATTGTAGTGCGGGCTTTGGGCATAACTAGAAACGATTTAGAAATGGCATGCGACATATTACATGAGTTCGGTTCGAAAGTTCAACATAAGTGTTAGATTGTATTATCTGTGTAATGCAGGATTTTTGACGGGTAAGACAAAAGGTTGGTGATGTCGTATTCAGAATTAAAACGTCATAAGGTAAAGCAAAAAGGACTGTTTATATGCCTTTTATCAACCTTTTAAATGGTTGATACGTTTGAAAATTACATATATGTATGTATATTATAAGACTTCTTCATATGTGATGCTTAACTTCAAACAAACGATTATAGCTAAATTCGATACGCATAGTTCCAAATTAAGTGGCAATAGTAATTCTGTACAAAATATATGTAAATTTGATACATAAACAAATTTTGTCAGATTGACTTCCATTTAATTGAATAATTTAATTACTAATTATTACATAATTTTGGTGTTATATGTCGAAACGTATATGTTAATAATATTATAAAAATTAAACATTTTTGCTCGAATTAAGTAGACATTATTTTTAGTATTCGCGTCATAAAAAATACGATATATTTTTAGGATGGATTTATGTATCTACCTTTGTTTGAAGTTATAATAGTTAAAAAATCGATAAAAACGCTGCATTACACAGAATAGTGGCACGAAATAATTTTTTTTGTCTATGGTTCGATTTAGCTGAATTTTATTGAAATTTTAGTGTTGCACACTTTAATTTCTATTTAATAATTTTTATATTGAATCGTCGAACAATAATTTAGGAATTTTAAATAGAAAATTTAAATTTTATAGAATAATTATGTCTGGCGGATTGAATCTATTAGCGTTCGTGAGTCAAAAATTTATTGTAAATATGCGTTTTAATGTTTCTTGAAATGTTAATGGCCGATCGTTTGGCGAACATTTTTCGTTAATTCATAGTATTATAGGTTTACTTTAGCTTTGATAGTGGATATTCTATGATATTATGCGTCACAATACAAACATATATAACATAATATATAAACATATTTAGTGAAGACTAGAAAAGTTTTATGTATGTAACAAACATTTTTACATGAGTAATATTACTTCGGTGCTAGAGATAATTCTTTTCTGTCAACAAAGTGAAAAACATTTTTAGAACACTAATATGCGTATGATATAAAAAAATGGATTTTTAAGTCATATTAAAGCAAAACCCAAAGCTATCGATAATGAATGAAAATCTATGTTCATTTCTATGCTCAGGTATTTCAAACTATGCAATGATTTTGATGAGTTGACAAAATTAAAAAAAAAAACTTAGGGATACTTGCACATTTCATATATTAATATTAATGGGTAGTTAACAAATACGATGTTTTGTAGTCGTTTGAAAGTTGACAATTGATATTCGAGAAACGTATAGCCTGAGCAAAACTAAGGCAAGCTCTTTAAACATTGAAGATGTGATACATATATCATAGTATATCCACGTGTATATTTATTTGACACTAACCATATTTTCCAGAATGTCCGCTGTCAGTATTCGTATTGTCTTTCAATAAATAACACTAGCTTTGTACATAATTCACTATATTTTCATAGAACGCTGTCTTAAAATAAATATATTTTTTCATACGTGTATCGATTAGACACGACTTATGATAACGCAATAATGTAATCGGTGTAAATATTTTCAAACGTATTCAGTCACTCGTTTAAGTGATTATCATGGATATAATATATTGGTAGTGGCAAGCAAAATAAAAAAAAAAACAAAAACGTTATGTTTTGTCAGAACGTCAAACGTCAAAGTCAATGTCACTTTTTTTAATGACTTGCCTTTTTTGTCATCTTGCCTGCATATATTAATTCCATGAATAGTTTACCGATGAGCTTAAATCAAACACTTTTATATTCGATCTTCTTGATATTTTTCTAATAATTGTTACTAATTGAAGAGAAAAAAAATCGAATTATTCATTTTTATTAATTGGATGGTGAATTGACTGAATCTTAGGTTAAAGTACGGCTAGTCTATCCTTGCAATGAGTTATGTAATGTAACGTCTGTATTTAACAATAGAAACATCGATATATTAATGTGGACATGCCTTTATAAATTTAAATTAAGAATAAAAATATATAGCCTATATTACTCGCAATACATTAAAGCTTTAGTCATAGCTGATAAGATAAGGCTCTAAATAACTTTCTCTTTCAATAAAATATAATAACCTATACCAAGGCATGTCCATATGAATATATAGAAAAAAATAGAAATAGCGTAGTTACCCGTGAGCCTTTAGATTAAAGTACATATCCACCAAGTTAACTAGTCAAACTATGAGTCCTTAATATATAAATTATGAAACTTAAAATGGCATTAATAGGTATTCTATCTCTTTCTTTCACGCTGTATACAGCTAAAGTGCAAGCAAAATAGTTAAAGAAAGAGATAGAGATACATATTTATATAAAAAGTGATAACTCGGTTAAGTCGATTAGTCTCTGTAAGGTAATTGTCTCGAAATATTGTTGTTCTCAGTATTGATATAAAATATCTCATGTATAACATATTTTTATTTTAGAAAGCTACACACATACAGCATAAAGTAATATTTTTCATAAATGTGTGGAAAATGGAAAAACAGGTTTCAAGTAACAGCACAGTAAATACAGATAATAAATATTAAAAAGTATTTATAAATCTTTAGTTTTTTAAAAGAGGCAATTAGCTTACCGAAACCTGTTATAGGCTCAAAATTATAGCAATTATAATGGACTAATAATAATATAATAAATCTGATATGTCTTTATAATTTCATATGCACATTTGTATGACAGAAATCCATATTTAAACACGCAAACAATTTCTCGATTATTTCTAAGTATGACTAAGATGGTATGTTTTTTATTTAAAAAAAATACAATCTTCGAACTCTGGGCACTAGCCCTTTTAAGTTGATATTTAACCAGTATTGCCAGTGTTATTTGCTTTTGGACAAAATTGTGCAATATTATATTTATCAATATATATTTTTCAGTATAACGTTTGTTTTAAAGTTATTTGTAATGATATTTTTTGTAACGAATTCAAATTTGAAATGATTTTTTTTTCAGTTACGTATTGTAGTAATAATATTTATTATGTTTAGTTGTTATATTTCAGGCAAAGGCAATTGTTTTTGGAATACTTATTACTTAATTTTTTTATTGATGTTGATTTAAAACACAATAATACATAAATATATTTTCTAATATTAATCACATGACACCAATTAAAAATAAATAAAAATAAAGGGGCAAATTCGTAAAAACAATTGCCTTTAGAACGGCAGCACTTCTAATCAATACAAATAATTTATTTATGGTGGATTTGTATTAAAAATCTTTTGTAATATACTAATTTAAGTATCGAGATTAATTTTTCTTCCGATCTACAATCGATTTGTTTCAGCTTAATGGGAAGGAATTTTGGGGAGGCTAGAACTTGTTTTACGCTTTTAATCGAGATATGTTTCAAAATATATTTAAGCAAAATCATTTATATGACTTTTCTTTACTCCTTTCTAGGTAATTATTTTTAAATATGTACAGATAACATAAAAAATCCTTATTAGTGCCTACTAGCGATTCACTGTCGCTTAACTTGGGCTCGTCCCTAGGTACGTTATAACGGTGAGTATGGAGGAATACATAGACTATATACTATATGATATACAGCAGGCTGTATTCTTGTATATCCTTCCTCAATAAACGGGCTATCTAATGCAAAAAGAATTTTTCAAATCGGATTACTAGTTACTGAGATTAGCGCGTTCAAACAAAGAATCAAACTCTGTCTCTTTATAATATAGAACATTAAGATTAAGAAAAAAGGACTTGGACTTATAATAATAAAGTTAATGCAGGTACTATTTTCTTCATAGCTTCATTTATCGAGATTATTAATATTTTTAAAATTGAGTGGTTATCTACAGTCTACACTAATATTATAAAGTGCAAAATTTGTTTGTTTAAATAATCTTAATACCTACCTTAATACCTCCTATAAGGTAATCTTTAAGACTTCTGATCCGATTCTGAAAATTCTTTTGTTATTAGAAAGCTATATTACCGCTGAGTGCTTTAGGCTATTTTTTATCCTCAAAAAATGGGTTTACAGTCAATAATCATAATAGCTTTATAGTCGAAAAACATGTGAAGTTGCTTTATAGGCGTGTGCTGTTTAAACGGTTTGAAATAAAGCAATAAAGATTTAGCCTATAATAAAGTCCAATCAGAATTTAGCCTAGAAAGAAGGTAACGAGGGTTATCGCGCTTGAATTCGCCGAGAAGCGCTGGTGTAGAGTGAGGTGTCTAGAAATGTCAAATGTCACTGAACGTTTACCGTTTGCGTGGTCTCATCGCGGATGTTCACTAATCTGTGATGTTCACTAATTATCCAAGATCGTTGTAAAGATTGTGCCATTCCTGATTGATTATGGCCGATAGCGGCTCACCCTCGCTTCGCTCTGGTTCGTCTCTAGGAAAACAAAAACAAACCTATCCCACGGGAACTACATTTTTGCGAGATAAATAAATGTGTTATTTCAGACTATTTCATCCAGATCCGTTCAGCCGTTCTGGCGTGAAAGAGTAACAAACATCCAAATACTCATCTAAACTTTCACATTTATAATAGGTATTAGTAAGAAAACACTTAAAGATATAACAAGTAACTATAAATTGAGATTCTATGGAATATAATATGTAGGAATAGATAGGCATGAACCATCAACTCTATGCGTGAAATGACATTGATTTGTTTATTCGCATATTAAATAATATTACAATAATCAAAATCGTCAAAATGTAAGTATAAAATCTTCACCGCACTAACAGTCGCTAAAGATTTATAAACGAACTATTCTTTTCCAACTTGCACATTAGGTGGAAAATACTGTGTCACAGTTAAACTACTAAAATACATTTATCATTGTAATGTATGGTGTGGAATGAAAAGCCGGTTCTTTCGCCTTTTGCCTTTTTAAACAGATTTGACTTTTTCCTGATATCTGATAATTGGGTCAGAGCTAACAATAATATGATTATTATTAAAAAAAAATTGGCCCTGCCGCACTAACAAATATATAATTATTCTACGACAGCGATAGGACCTTACTTGCGAGTGGCGTCAACTGGTGCCACCAGAAACGATGCCTCATTAGTTCGGTATAACAAGGACGACACTGTTTTTTCTTTTTTATAAGTATACAACTGCAACTATTGGTGTGAATAAAAATGTATCTTAGAATCATATAACTATCTCAATTTTTGGACCTATCTAGAGATGCCACAAGTGCTTATATGGACTGAATTACTTTTTGACCCCCTTCCATCCCTTTTATTATTTTTATTAATTTGACTACAGAATTGTCAAACACATTTTGAATATTTTCCTATTGAAATAACTGTGGCATACTGACAGACAAACATGAAAAGTTTATAATCGTTCCGGTTTTGCCTTCTGGTTACGGAACCCTAAAATAAGCACTAGATCAAAGGGTAAGTTTTACAAACAGAAAGCAATAATAACGTGATATTTGAAAAAAAACTTCTTTTACGTGTACTTTTAATTAAGAGGCGTTGGAAAGCATGAATTACAGCGTTACAATTGATTATTATTGAATCAAAACAGTTTCGATATGGCTGTTTTTATGTGGCTCTATATTTTATGTACCGAGGTGAGCGATAAATTTTATTATGATTTCACAATTTAATATCTTATATTTACAAAAAGTTTATGTTAAGTGATTAAAAATATGTTAAACAAAATTAGTAACGCAGGAATACGTTTGTGGTATTAGCTATATATTGAACTACTATTATAATTAAAAAAAATATATATATATATATATATATATATAATATATATATATATGGTGTATGTGTGTGTGTGTGTGTGTCTGTTTGTTACTTATTTACACTGAAATGGATGAACGTATTTTGATATAATTTAGCACACAGATAGACAATACATAGAATAAAATACACATAACGAGCGAAGTTGAAGACAACATTTAGTTTTAATATTTTTAAGTAATAGTAATCGTAATGAAACACCTATATATATGTATATGTTTAATAGTATTTAACGTGTCTGTAGATTAAATGTTATCTATGTTTTACAGATGCACTTATCATCTGCTCAATTTAAGAGTCACATAGACTTACAAAAAGTATCTGAAATCATGTTTAAAAATGAAAAGTATAATGTTCTGAAGCCAACAATACACATAATAAAAGATCATTTCAAGGATTTCATACAAAAACGGCACAATCAAGAAAATTCTAGAATTTTCATAGATAGAAATGGTTTTAGACATATATGGCAAGGAATGGAAGTATCTGGCTCTGAAAGCTTAAGAAAAGCTGATTTAGCTCAAGAGAAAATAATTGAAACTCCAGAAGATAAAACTATTAAAGAGATGAAAGCTGTTGAATTACATAATACTACAAAGAAAATAAAAGATAAACCAAGGAGGAAGAAAAAAATTGTAGAAGATGTTTATGTCCCAGAAAAAATTACCTTAAGAGACAATCCAACGCTAGTAACAACTACATTCTTTTGTCCTTTTTTTGGAATTATTAAAATGTCTTCAGAGGTAAATAATTCTGATGAAAATAAAAATGCTACGACGAAACGTTAAAAATAATATCATATTAAAAATTAAAAGCTTAATACATATACACAACATTTTCCGGTTGTACTTGTTATTTTTGTAAATATTTTCGGTTCAATAAATAAAAATATAAATAAATATATGTACAACATTACGTTCAATTAATTTTATTAATCTTCCATTTTTGTTGTATCTTTCTTTTCTTCTTTCGGGACATCATTCATGAACCGTCTATTAAATTTCCTAGTCATGAACGGGTCATCGTTAAAATTATCTACTTTATACGAATCGAAGGTATTTAGAAAGCCGTTAACTGCTGTTTTTAAGGCTCTTCTGTAGCTATTGATTGGCATACGTCGTCGTAATGTAACCACTGGTTCGAAGGGAATAACCATACCAGCTGCACTAGCTATTAAAGGAATTAATGGTGCAGGAAAGTAAAAAGATATAATCTCCATAACCCCATTGACAACACACGTCCCTACATTTCTCAGAACAACGCTAATTTCTGGATTAGCAACAAGTCTTCTTATAGGAACTGTTATTATTTGAAAAACATTACTTATAATACTTTTGTTTGTTTTAACGATTTCTGTTTTGTTTATTTTTTCATGCGAGTCAGATGGTATTTCATTGTTTTCGTCAGTTACATTGGGTAGTTGATTGATTTTTTCGTTTACTGTTGTGGTTTCGAATTGATCGTTGATTTCTGGTTTGACTTCGTGCTGAGACTGAGGAAGAAAAAATTTGTCGCTATTATCTAAAATATATACTTAATCAATAAATATTGGATGAGCTTTGATGTTTCACAACTGATTTTTTTATTTACTAAGGAACAGTTTTAGCATCTTTTACTCAAGGATTCTTAATGGTAATCGTTGTGGGGTCAATTGCCATGTATTATTAACTGCCTCTACTACTACATTATAGTTTGTTGGTTTGATTTTCGTGTAGTACGAATTTATAAAACCATACACATATTTGCCTTTGTTTTGTTTAGTTGTTGTTTAGTTATGAATACTACTGAAGGGAATCTATGTACAGATTTCTAAATAATATCTAAAATCATGTATAAATAAATAAGTATCATTTCTTAAGCCGGCTTTTCTGTTTATTAAAATATAATTTAAAAGATTTTACACAAAAACTGTATAATAAAGAAAATTCCAGTTTTGACTGTGGGTTCGATTCTCGCACAGGATGAGTTTTTGTTAACCAAACATGTTGTATCGCTGCTACCATCTAGCATACATAATTATTTAAATATGTATAGATGTGATTTACGTGTATGTTTCCTTTCTTTACTACACAAAGAACAGTGCGTGAAGATAAGAAATAAGTAATTTTAAAGTGCTTAATTAAATAAAGTAGAGGTCGTAATCGGACCATAATTTTAATTTTCAATAACGATAATAAATGTTATTAAAATTTATGAATATTAAATAAATTTAGCTATCTATATAAAGAACTTTTATTGATAACATTAAAGCTCATCAGAAATTCGGTTGACAAACAGAAGAAGAAAAGGGTACCAAACTATTTTGCCTATTTAAGTTATAATTCTTAATCCTTTAAAGTAACTTACCAAAGACATAACAAAATGTGGAACATTTAGAACACAGAATATAATGCAATATTTTTTCATTTTACTATTGTAATGAAATAAAAATTTATAATATTTTGAATTCAAAACTATTTTATTTTACTGGTTCATAAAATATTTACAACTACTCTCATTCAGCATTATTTTTATAATATACTAGCGGCTCACCCTCGCTTCGCTCGGGTTCGCCTCTAGAAAAACACTAATAGAGATCTATTAGTTCCCACGGGAACTGTTTATTTCTCCGGGATGAAAAGTAACCTGTTGTTTGACCGGCAATATAAGGTATCAGAATGTTAAATTTTACTAAATTAGGTGCATAAGTTGTTAGCAGACAAACAGACAGAGAAACAAAAAAATTGAAAAAATCTGGAATTGTTCTATTTGTCTTCTTACATCGCCCTGACTCGGTTTTTAGCATTTTTTGATATGTTCATACATTCGACCTATACGCTTTTATTATAGAATAGACTAGCGACTCACCCTCGCTCCGCTCGGGTTAGTATAGTTTTCTCAGAGATGAGAAAATTGTTTTTCCCGCAGTTAAAAGTATCCTATGTGTTGACCCGGGTAACCAGCTATTATTATATCAAATTTCTTCAAAATCAGTGCAGTGGTTTTCTAATCTCACAGAGAGACCAGAGAGATAGACAAACAGACAAAAATTCTAAAAACACTGATCTTTAATTTATATTTAAAAATGTAAAAATATTACGATTCAAACGTGCTTGTAAAAGACTATTTGGATAAAGTGTATTTTGTGGTAATCATGTTAAAAATGATGCTCATGAAAACATGAGAGATGCGAGACCCGGGATTTAAACCCGCAAAAAATATTTTTTACTAAACATAAAATTAAATGAGAGTGCTTCGGAAAATTAATTTATCTCAATGAAATTTCCAAATTAGTACTATCATGTACAGAGATAAACTTTTAATTAAATTGGCAGTTAGAGTTTTATTGGCGTTAATTCAAGACAATCATTTACTCGGAATATTTCAATTGAAAATGAATTTATTACTGTTTTTTACGTTGGTTTTTTGTTTCATTATGAATGTCTTTTCGCAGGTTAGTGCTTATATTTTATTTAATCTATAAAAAAAAACCTTTATATTTTACAACTAGCTATTTACTCTGGCTTCGCTCGTGCGCATCCCCAGGTATGCGGATTTTGTCCATAATTTCATCGGTTATATTTTTTTCAAACGGAACCCTAATTAATTATTTTTGAATGAAAGTCCCATCAAAATCGGTGCTGCCGTTTCGGAAATTAGCAGGAACGAACAGCCAGACCCACAAAAAATTTCCAAATTGTGTTTTTGCTTATAAGTATCGTATATACTTTCACATGCATTTAGTAAAAATCTGTTATTTTGACGTTACAAACAGACACTTCAATTTTATTTATTTGTATAGTTGTATAGATTACAATTAGCTTTTCAAAGCTTCTCGTGTTTCTCGCTCGCGTTTGTTCATGTATACGCTTTAAGGGTAGCTTGATGTTAGATAGCCAATATAAATTGGTTATTTTAGAACAAAACAAACTATTCTTTACATTTTTTCGGCTTTATAATATCGGTATGTATATGTAAAATTAAAATAGATTCAAAGTTGCATGCAATTCCAGACTATAATCTATCTCTGTACCAAATTTTATCCAGATCCATTCAGCCGGTCTGGCGTGATTGACTAACAAATATCCATCCAAACTTTTGCATTTATAATACTAGCGACTCACCCTCGCTTTCTTTCGGGTTCGTCTCTAGACAAAAACAAATTTATCCCACGGGGACTGCACATTTTTCTGGGATAAAAATGTATGTGCTATTCCAAACTATAATCTACCTCTTTGCCAAATCTCATCCAGATCTGTTCAGCCGTTCTTGTGTGAGAGAGTAACAAACATCCGTATATTGTCACAAACTTTCACAGTACGGATTTATAGGATGTAGCTCGTTTTGGTAGCAGGCATACTATGTAAAAATGGCTGTAACACACAATTTCAAAGTGAATTAAATATTAGAATTAGGGATCTTTTACAAAAACTACGCCAATATTTACCGAATCACTTCAGCCCTATATCCGATCTTTAAGAAATCCCTTGAGATCAGACTCTCATTTCCTTTTCCTAGGAAATCTTTTAAGCGTTTCTTTTGTAGTGAATTGTAAATCTGAAGATATTTTTTACTTTAAAATTGCTTTGTTGTTTCTATAAGAAATTTAGAGAATTTCTGATATTAAAGTTTTCAAACTTTAAATTAAAAAACTAATAATTCATACACCATCATGTTATTTTAGATCATTTCTACGAAAAAAGTATGTGATAGCTATTTCCTTGTGCGAATCATTTTGAGTATTTCTAAGAGTATAGATTTCGAAAGACATGACAGTGAAGTCCGCCAACCCACATTTAGTCAGTGAGGTAGACTATAGCCTGATTCCCCTCGCGTTGAAAATAATGGGGAGGGCTTCTCAGTGAGACGTTAAAAAGGGCTGTATATTACATAATTATGAAAGATTATTTTACCTCACACAAGGCTCGAACTTGTGATCTAAATACTACATAAACCCAATTCAATACCTGTACGAGAGATTTATATGTGATATTTATATTAATTTTCATTATTTACAGGTACCCTACGATTATATTCCCTTGGGTAAAGCAAAGCGTCGCGTTTGGCGACCGCTTCCGTCCGACGTAAATCTAAATTACGAGCGTTTGTTCCCTTCACGCCGAAAATACCTTGATTAATCTAACTTATCCCGTAAGAATTCAATAAACGTCATAACACATAATTTATATTTTTTCTTGGTTTTAACCGACTAAAAAAGGAGGTCATTAATGTTTTTCAACAGCTTTTACTTGTAATGTTTGTTAGTTGGTGTATTTTTATGGGTCAAATCTTGCAAACTGAATTAGAACTACTTCCTCATATCTTACAATATTTTTTATGATATATAATTATTTGTTATCATCAATATTATATCGTTCAATTCAATTCTTTGTTATATTATATCATTCAATTCGATTATTTGTTCTTGGTTATGTTAATATTATACTATCATCGCCAATTGTGAATCAATTTTATAATCTTTATTATTCCTCAATTTATTGAATAGATAAGCTGACAATATTTTAAGATATGAGTATCTAATAGGTAAATATGTATTTTACGTATCGAAACATATTAGATTTGCTTTTCATCGGCTGGCACCGACTTCGAAAATATTTAATTAGGTATCTGTTCTAAATGAAAACCCCCGTTTAGTTATTTTTTACATTTTAGGGCCTGGAAGAAGTTGGTTTTTTTAAGTTTTTATTATGTGTGCAATGAAGAGTTTTCTTATTATTATGATTGTATGTGTATATGTTTGTTACTCTTTCAAAGCGGTTAAACAGATTTGAAGAAAATTTAGTATGATCTTGAGAACTCAATAAAGGGACCTAGAGATGAACGCGAGCAAAGCAAGTGTAGTTTCTAATAAAATATAAAAAATAAGGCCTTATTTTATATAAAACTGATTAAATATTAAGTATTATTAAAATATCTTATCTTTAAATACTCCTTTCACGAAAGTAGTAGCGTGGCTGCACCCTATTCTGTCGGACATAAATCTTAATAATGGACATTCTGTGACGAAGAATGCCTAAGTATTGATTAATACATAATTTTACTATAAATGGCAGTATATCAAAATTAAACCATTTTTTGAAGTGAAAATTTCTATAGGTATGCTTGGATGGGGAATAAATTCATGTAAGTCGTCATCGACATGGTCACGTGACGTGTTAACTCTTAACACTCAGAGTGCCGATAGATGTCAAAACCAGATAAATGTTAACAGTTTTAATTTAAGATCAAAACAATTAATTTGAATATCCAAAAATAACAACTGTTTGTTTATAGTTTTAAGTTTTCACTTCAGTCGGCAGTCCTCATGACTGCTTTATTTTTCAAAATATAGGTAGTGTAAAGGTTGAATTTTTATATATTATATGAATTTGTAATGATTTATGTATGAGGCATTTAGTTATGTGATCTTGGCCGATACGAATGTATTTAAAAAAAATTAAAGTACGCGGATATTAATTTGTTTTCCCGCGCTTTTGCACAGAGATAAATCGATACCATCTTGTCAGGAATTATTTGTAATATTGTAAATTATTATTATAACCTATGTAATTAATTATTTAAAAGAGCAACTGTTGAGTTTCTCGCTCTTCTCAGCAGAAATGCTTTCAGAGCCGGTGGTAGCTTCCACACGGACAGACATACTGACGGTTATAAAAGAATTAAATAGATATTTCAAAAGCATTGAATACCTATAAGAATATATACAAGAATATCTCGAAGTTTATTAGTATCATACTACAGTAGATATAAAGCGTATTCGCATTAAAATTTTCACAATTTTTTTTAGCTGCACTCGTGTATGACTTCGACATTCGACATAACTTTATCCATGTACAATTATAAAATTTATGAAATCTCTAAATAGACAATTAAAGGTTTTTTTTTAAATAAAAATCATATAAAGACAACAGCACGCTTCAACATTTAATTAAAAGAAACTATACACACTAATCAATCTGATACATTATAAATACTATATAAGCAATTGGGACATATTTCAATATTATATCAATAATTTCAAAGGGTTTATACATAGTCGAGAGTTTTAAGGATGGTTACTGGCAGCTCGCAGTGAAGCAACTAATTCGTCGATGTTGACATGAGCTGGAACGGGTGAGGCGAGTTCAGCGTATTTATCGGTGTAGTCTACACCGCTACGTGAATGCTCATCTACATGTTGTGCCTGTAATGATTATAATAGAATGTTAATATTACTAGCTACGTATCCCTGTTTCGCTCGGGTTCGCCCCCGGGTAATTTATGTGTTACTCTACGTCATAATCTATTTCCCCTTCGACGTGTGTTCACATTATCGTAGTAGGGGAAGGTGGGGGTTCATTAGCATCCTGCAACACAGCCAGGTGCGAAGCCAAGATTCACACAGCGAGCTGGCCCACTTCGGTGAG